CGTTCAAGCATAGTAGATTGGGGGAGGTATCAAAGAATGCAGGTGATCCCTCAACGAACAAAGCATTCAGGGCAGTTACGATTTGCAATGTATTCGCCAAACATCACTACCGATTTTTTAGGAGACAGCTAGCATACACGTTGGACTTTATGATGAGGGACTCGCAACTTGGGGGTAGACCTAGGAGGTCACCAGTGATGGCGTCGCAGCAGGCTCGTCTGACCACACAGTTGGCGGCAAAGAATCAGGTATCAGCGGCAGTTGTATTTTTGGATCTCAAGGCGGCGCTCCATCGCATCATTCGTCAGATGGCTAGCCGCATGCAGTACTTGGAGGAGGGACCAGAAGCGATCTTGAATGATTGTGAGATTCCAATATGTTTGGTACCTTTGGCCAACCATATTTTAGCACAACCGGCCTTGCTGGGCGATCAACGTGTGGACCCCCATCTGGCTACGCTGGTGGCAGAATCGCAACGATTGGTATGCTTTGAAGTGGGGGGTTCTACGCAACTGGGTATGCCAACAAGAGGGACGAGGCCTGGATGTGCTACGGCAGATTACCTTTTTTTTTAACATTGTCTTCACCAAGCCGTTGGGACTGGTACATAGGAGTCTGCAGACAGCGAATCTGGTACTAGATCTGGGTAGATATCAACCTGAATATGATATGGTAAACAAGTCTGGGGACGATGTCAACCCGTTGGTGGATATTACCTTTGTTGATGATGTGATTATCCCCATAGTGCAGGAGAATGACTGCATTATACAGAGTGTGAAGGATGCCATGGACATCATGCACGCATCGTTTGTAGCACACTTCATGGAGCCGAATTACGGAAGAGGAAAGACAGGTGCGCTGTTCCAGCTCCGAGGACCAAATCGTGAACCGCTACGTGAAGCATTGTATGGAGGGGAGGTGTCGATGACGAGTGACAAGTATGGATTCACGTTTCATATCGCAAGACACTACACACATATGGGAGTGGTGGTTTCCTTTGACTGCTCGTGGCGACCAGAGATTACCCGACGTATTCAAAGTTGTGAACAGGCGCTGGGCCCTATCAGACGGGGCATTATACCACGAAAGAGTATAAAAAATGAGTTCAAGGTTAGATATGTGGAGGCACTGGCTTTCTCGCTGTTGTTTCAGCAGTTTGAGATATGGCATGAACTGGGAGAAGGGAATGAGTCAAGACTGAGGGCTGCGTATATGAAGGGTCTTAGGATGGCAACGGGACTAACACATAATGCAGGTACTGTTGAGCACCACCTCGACGAATATGTACTTTGGTAAGCCAAACGGGCGGATTTCACGACGATTAAGCGTATTAGGAGGCTGCGTTATCTTGAGAGAGTGGTGAATCATGCACCTGCGACCTTACGACGGCTGGTGGATATTCTTGGGACTGAGGGTACGTGGCTTGGTATGCTGGAAACGGACTTTGAATGGCTACAGCAATGGAGGAATACAGGTGACACGCCAATGGAGATGCGACAATGGATCGAGCTCATACGGCTGACCCCCAAGAAGTACCTGGCAATGTGTACCGTGGCATGGAAACGCTTTATGCAATGGCATGTCGATCATTGTCAGCATGGGGTATGGCAGCATAAAATTAGAAGTATGGTTCCACGGGGACACGAGGTGGGTCAGAGCTTACGTTTTTTATGCTATGAATGTGGAGCCACGTTTGAAACTAAGTGTGCGTGGCACGGTCATAGCACCAAAGTACATGGCAACAGCGACGATATACCTCGATATGCGTATGATGGGTATTGTGCTGCTTGTGATGTGAATTTTCATACAAGGAAAAGGCTGATATATCACTTGAAATATCGTCACACCAAATGTATTCACATACTACGTGGTGTGGTTGAGCCGTTGGATGACGAAAGGTTGGCAGAATTTGATGAAAACGATATGAAAGAAACGGCTGTGCTCAAAGCCATGGGATACTCTGAATCAAAAGCACTGAGACCACCTACGAAGGGACCGAGGTATTGTAGGAACTCAGGATCGAAGGAGAATATGTATGTGTCAATTCCGCAAGTAATGATAGAGGAGGTCCCCAATATTTGCAATGAGGAAAGTGCGACTTACCAGTGTGTGGATAGGGAGTCGCAATTACTGCTGGTATATGACTCCGAACGTGATTCTAAAACATGGTTGGATAGTTTTCCCGAGGATGTACCATTCCAGATCAAGAAGATCGATCTCAGGACAATGGAAATGGACGCGATTGCTACAGATGGTATGTGTCACACGGTGGTGATGGATATATGCAAGCGAAGGATGTTTGGTGTTGTCGGACAGATATATGGGTATATGGGTATGCGACTATGGGGTGGTACCGAAATCCGTGGGAGATTGTGGGAAAAGCAAACAAAGGCGAATACCGTATTTCGAACCCAAATGGTAATATTTCATGCATGTGGAAGGGCCCGTGTTCCAATGTGCGTGATCACGGACATGGCCAAGATACCCACTGGGATGAATGACAATTATGTGGAGAAGGATATAATGGTCGGAGTTGGAAGCCAAAACGTTGAATATGAATATTGGCACGACCTATGGTGGATGATGAATGGGGAATACGTATGAGGACGACTTCCTGGTGAAGGTGCGCGGGTCGTGGCCAAGGGGGGGTGGATTCAGCCCACAACGTAACAACCCCCTGGGCTAGACGGCTGAGTCGGGGTTCCCGACGCTGTACGTCAAGGGCGAGTTGCGTGGGCGCTGCTGGCGCGCGGCCGTGGAGGCCGACTGGGACCTCTGAGGAGGCCGGTGTGGTGAGCCCCCCAGGGTGGGTCCCCACCTGGGGGGCTCGACTTCGTCGTGATGGGGTCGAAGGAGCCCTTTCGTTCTTTTGGGGAGGAGTGAGGTGGTGGTAGGATGAGGATCAGGTGGCCAGGTCGACCCCGTCACGACTGCATGTGCGGCCCGCGCGACGCGGGCCGTGGAGACGCCACGAGGATCGCCTCTCTCGGTGCGAGCGCAGCAGCAGCAGGGGGAGGGGGAGGGGGAGGGGCAGGAGGAGGGGGAGGCTGGAGCAAGAGGGGTTTTCGCGGACGCTTCTGGGGGGCAGGGGCCCGGGGCTCAGGGCTCACGGGGGCGGGGGGGGGGTTCTCGAACTGCGCGAGGGGGGGCAGGGGCTCAGGCCTCAGGGGGGCGGGGGGGGGTTCTCGGACGTTTCCGTCGGCTTCTGGAGGTTCTCCTTTCTCGGGGGGTGCAGCTTATAATACCTGCGCCTCGCTGAGAAGCGTACGGGGATTCCCGGATCGGTCCGAACGGCCGCCAGGGGCCTGAGTTATGCCCCCCACAAACATGATCGCTGAGGAAGTATGTGTCGCCCCACAAAACCTTGGACCATAGAAACAAGTACTGCCATCTCCTCTCGATGCGGAACAAAAATCACGACGTGAGGTGTTGGGTAGCCCTCGCCAGGCCCCGGGACCGGAAAAAAATACGTGCTCAGGCTGCAAATCTGGTCCCGAGGAAAGGGTCCAAACCTCTGGGGATCGCGGTTGTGAATAAACACGACGCCAGATGTCTGCCTAAGAGGAGTCTCGCAAGTGTTCAAACGTTTCTAAGAAGGTTGTCTTGCCTCGGGGTGCGTGCCATCAGCAGCGCCTCGCTGAGAGGCGTCTGGGGGGGCCTGGATCGCTCCCAACGGCCGCCGGAGGCCCAAGTTATGGCCCCCGAACCAGATAAATAGGAACACTGGGGGGATAGGCTTCGCACTCAAACCTTGGAAGAAAGAGAACCACTTGGATCGGCGCGGGGTTGCCACGGGAATACGGGGGGTATATCAGTGGATGCCAAGGTGTATTAAATCGGGCTTGCCCTTAGCCACTTAGGACACGCGCAACCCACTTGTAGGCAAGCCGAATCCCCTTAGCAACCCGCATGTTGATCCAGGAATCCTGGATCTTCGGCGACATGGTTTTGCCAATCCTGGCGTAGCTCTGGTGCCGCGGATGGATGCGAGATCGGTCATGCATGGCCACGGAGCCGGTCGCTTACGAAATCTGTGGCCGGGCACAAGTTCGCCACCACGTTCGGTCCGCGCAGGCGACGGTCGAGGCGCGTCCGGGCGGATGCCGTGGACAAGAGAGGATAAGCGTGCACCCAGCCCTGGCCAGGCCCATCCAGGCAGGCCCTGGATCAGTGCGCACACGCCCTCCTGGCTCGGACGGGGAGGAACGTGTACAGCGATCCTGGGCCCAAGACGGGCCAGATCACGAGCTGTACACCCAGACCTCCGAAGTCTGGAGTTCCAGGGCCAGCTTTTCATCCAGAGTCGTGTTTGACGGACCCATTGAAGGGGCCCACAAACACACAAATAAATACACACATAATATAATCCCCCATATTTTCCCATATTTTCTGTGTTTTTGTCTTCCCCCCCCCCACTCCCCATATTTTCCCATATCTTCTGGTGAATCGACGATTCATTGTGTCTGTGTGTGTGTTTTCCCCTCCTGGCCCATGGCGTGGCGAGGGCCCCCCTGCAGGCCCGAGGCTTGCTGCTACAAATTTTCGAGCCGGGTCGACCCGTGAGGGTCCCGCTCTCGAAACATATGGCAGAATCGGCTGTCGCGAAAAAATCGATGCCAGGATTTGGCGGCGCGCAAAAGGGGGTAGGGGGAGGGGGGAAGGCTTCTTAGAAGCACCCTGCTTCTTAGAAGGCCTCGGCCTTACGTCTATAGAGAAGGCCCGCGCCTTCTAAGAAGCAGGGGTGCTTCTAAGAAGCCTTCCCCCCTCCCCCTACCCCCCTCTGCGCGTTGCCGAAGGATCTCAGGGCCTCGGGGTTCCGGGCAAGACTTGTGTCCATATCAGCTGCGTTTTGGAAATGTCCCCTCGAGGCTTGATCTCTATCCAGATCCACCGCGCTTCGGCCTCCACCGCGCTTCGCCCACTCCCAGGAAATCCGAGACGCAGCGGGTACGGACAGAGCTCTTGCCCGCACGCTGTCCGAAACCTGGTGCCGCCCACGCTCACGAACCGGGGCAGGTCGCCGAGGACGTCCGCCGCAAGCGCGCGGAGGAAGGCGCGCTGCACCGGGGAGAGGAGGACGAGGGAGGAGGAGGAGGAGGAGGACAAGGAGGACGAGGACGGGAGGAGGAGGAGGACGAAGAGGAGGACGACGAGGAGGACGAGGAGGAGGGGGAGGCCGAGGAGCAGGCATGGAGGAGGAGGGGCCCCGCTCGACGCGTGCACCACGCCGGCGGTATGATCGGCGGCGCGCACGTGGGGGCACCGCGAGGGTGGCGGCCCTCGTAGAGGGCGCCGCGCTGCCGAGGAGGCACCTGTCCTCTGAGAAGGGCCCAGCGGCGGGAGACTTCCAAGAAGGCCTCCGCGCTGCCGAGGAGGCACCTGTCTTCCGAGGAGGGCATGGCGGCGGGAGGCTTCCAAGAAGACCTCCGCGAGCCTGGACCCCTTCGAGCCTCCGCGAGCCTCATTGGGAACCCGTCTCGGAGCCACTGAGAGCTTCTAAGATCGCCAGACCCTGGACCCTGGAAGGCACCTGTCTTCGAAGAGGGGCCTCGTCGCCAGCGGACCGGACGACGTGGTGCACGCGTCGAGCGGGGCCCCTCCTCCTCCTCCTCCTCCTCCTCCTCCTCCTCCTCCTCCTCCTCCTCCTCCCGCAACCTCCTCCTCCTCCTTCCTCAACCTCCTCCTCCTCCTCCTCTTCCTCCTCCTCCTCCTCCCACCTCCTCCTCCTGCTCCTCCTCCTCCTCTTCCTCCTCCTCCTCCTCCTCCTCCTCCGACTTCCTCATCCTCCTCCGTCGTGCAACTCTCCCAGGCGCAGCGCTTCCAATGAGGCTTCCAACACGGCTTCCACTGAGGCTTCTTGGCAGGGCCCGAGGCTCCCAGTGGGCCCTCTCAAAAGGAGCTCTGGAGGCTTCCAGAAGGGCTTCTGAGGAAGCCGCCAGGCTCTTCCGAGGCCCCTGTCTTCGAACTGGCCATCGCTCGGACGTCCATTTCCTGTGTTTTTCCCAGTTTCGTGCGTGGTTTTTTCGCCAAATGATCAAGGATGCTCCTCGATGGTCCTCGCCGAAGGAAAAATGCACACGTCCGAGCGATGCCAAGTCCAGAAGGGCTTCTCAGAACACCGCCAGGCTCTTCCGAGGCCCCTGTCTCCGAGGACAGCGCGCCGCCTTCTTCGCAGGAGGTCACCCACCTGCGCGCCGCCCACCAAGCCGGCTGGTCCGCCGACGAGCTCGGCGTGGACGCCCCAGCGTTTCAGCCTGCCTCTTGCCGTCGCTCGGACGTCCAGTTCCCGTGCATTGTTCGGTGTCGTGCGTGTTTTTTTCGCTCGATGATTCAGGATGGTCCTCAGGAGTCCTCGCCGGAAAAAAGTACACACGTCCGAGCGATGCCAGGGCCTGTGGGACGATGGAGCGTCGCCTATACACCGGGCCCCTTCGCCGAACTTCCTGGCTTCCTGGCCGATCAAACGACGTGGTGTGTATATATATATATATATATATATATATATATACATACCGCTGCTCTTACCCCCTAATGCCACTGCTCTTACCCCCCTACCTGGTCGTCGCGTTCTCGGGCCGTAAAGCGGATCTCCGGCGACGATCCTGGCACCCCTGGGCGCCTCTCGACGAGGCGCAGTTGATGGATAGCAGCCCGAGGCAGGACATCTGCCGAGAACGGATGGATATGTCAACCAAAAACCGTCGGCCCTTTGGAGCCCTGAACTCCGTCGCTCAAACGACGTGATGCACAAACAGAACTGATAGTACGGATGCGCGATAGGGATGCAAACCCCTTAGGCGCCCGTGCTGAAGTTGTTTTTCTAACGCGGCGGGCCTTCGATAATAGTCAAGGACGGACCATGGAGGCACGGATGCACCCGTTCCCTCGGCAAGGTTACCCATCCTCACCCTTGGTCTTGACTGTATACGTCGAGCCCCTTCTGGGGCACCTCCAAGTTGAAGCCAGGGCTCAGCCCGCCAGCCCCAGGCGACTCGTCGCCCTCGCCGTGCTCGTCGTGGGCCCGGCTCAACCGCTGCCGCACCTCTCTGGGGGGGGTAAAGACGCAGACACCCTCGCGTCGCGCAAACTCATAAAAAAAACATAGTTCCCCAGGTTTCCTGAAACTTATAAAATACACAATACCTGCTCTATGCCCTACCCTACCCTAATTATTGTTTGCGTGAGTTTCCAACATAATGTTATCAATACTTTTGATACCCCAATAAAAATTGAAATAAAAAAGATAATATTAAATACAACATGAGGAAACATACAAACAAAACAGGGACGGAAACAAGGCGGGGGTCCGGAAGATCTCATGGCCACACGTTTTTTTTGAAACGGGCGGTTCCGCCAAATTTTGGGACCCGGGGCCAGCGCACATCACTCCAGCTCGAAAATGCAGCAGGAAAAGGGGGTTCAGGGTTCTGGTCGTGATGCTTCTCTTTTTGTCTTGTTATGTTTGCAACGTCAGATCTTAGGGTCACGAAGGGATGGAAGCACCAACTTCCCCTCGCGCCGTGGAACAAAACACACGCGATGTTTTCTTCCTTTTTCCCCACAACATCGCAAGCCCCCTGTGTGCCGCTGGCTCCCGCGTCGCCCAGCAAAACACGACCGTGTTGCACGGAATATCGGAGGACCCGCATGGAGGCACCTGGCAAACGTTGTGGCGCGGAGCTGAGCGCACGCGTCCGGATGAGACAGAACTCGATTATGAAGGGGCCCTGGGACACACACATGAATACACACAAATAACAGGATTCCCCATATTTTCAAATATTTTCTTGGTTTCTGTCTTCCCCCCACTTCCAATATTTTCATATTTTTTCCGGGGAGTCGACGAATAATTGTGTCTGTGTGTGTTTTCCCCCTCCTGAGATTAGTACCCCCGAATGGCCCAAAAAGCGGTGCGATGGCGGAAAAAGAGGAGCAGGAGGTGACAGCGTTGCCTCTCTCATGGGTGGCAGTTCCGGTAGCCTTGTGCGCTGCGCAGGGCCCCTGCCGACCGCCCCCAGGGACTTGATGCCCGAGGTGGAAGGGTGGATTGTTCGAATCGGCCTAGCGCCTGAACCCCCCTGGCAACAGATGCCGGGCAGAGACAAAAAAGATACACTTTCGTGTTGGCGCATGGGGGCGTATCCTCGCGTATCCCGCATACCGGTGTGATGGCGGTAGAGGAAAGGGCAGGAGAAGACGGCGATACCTCTTGTATGGGTGGCGGTTCCAGGAGCCCCGTGCGCTGCGCAGGGCCCCTGTCGTTTCAAGTTTGACACCCCCACTGTAGCGACGGGAGTGATACACAAAGATGGGGGAGGAGCAACGGGCGCGAAGATGCAGATCCCGCGCCCCCCCCCCTCCCCCCTGAGTTAGGCTTATGCTGAAAGGTAAAGCTTCTCCAGCGGGTTCCTGTAAATAGTCCTTGAGAGCCGCAGAGCGCAGTTCCCGAAGTAGGCTTCTTGGGCGTATTTCTGAAGTGTCTGGGGAAACCTACTGTGGATACTTCTCTGGTCTTGAGCCAGAGACTGACGGCCACATATCGTTGTGATATTAATCACAGAAGAAATGGTCACATTACTTGCGCTTTGTCTGCTTGCCCGCGTTCCGTACTACAGCGTGCTGGCTCACAACAACAAAAAACATGCACTGCTATGGATTATGGATGTAGCAGATAGTGCATGATCAACACAATCTTCACGCGCTCTTGATTTCAATGTTCACCAATGTCCCAGATTCGGTGGTGGAGCCTCTACGGAAGCTCTTTCCACGGAGCGTGCTGGTCAGGCCACGACAATGGACCAACTGGCACCACACTCTCATCATATACCTCTGCTACCACACCGTACGGTCCACCATGGGACCTCAACAGGTGCGACAAGACTGGTTTCAACTTTTTAACCAAATACCCGCAGATGTGAAGAAGATTCGTTGCAACACGTGCCAATACAATGCAGCAACACACGCATACTTCCAAGCTTGATCTTTGTCCGTGTATTAATGATGTGCCTCGCGGTTGGGGCCCAGCGCCTAAACCATCAGAAAGGAAAGAGAGTACTTGGCCGTCAAGGAGAGCCTCAACAGGCTGGACCAAGGCCACATAGAACCTGCGACACGCCACGACCCGAATGAAGAGACCCTGGTATTGCTCACGGTTTGACGATTCAAAGGCCAAGCTGGGATACTGGACATAATGCTGCATACAAAAGAGTTGCAACATGTTCACGCGACGTTCAAGGCGCCATCGTGGATGGACAAGGCGTTCAAACAACACCAATATACCGTTCATGAGCCAATCGACTGAATGCTAAACGCACGGACATCCTCTACTTGGACGGTCAAGGCGCTGCCTGGAGAAAGCCTTAACATATCCTTGTTTCTCGAAGCCCTACCACATGGACTTCTGCAGCGACGCTATTGAATGGAAGCGCTTCTAGTCGGAATCGCAACAGCACGGATTACCCAAAATAGGCGACATCGGCGCGGCTTAGCTTTTCCTGTCACGATCACGATTGCCAGAATGACAACTGTCAGATCTGAGGCTCAAGAAAATTTGGAGATCTATCACGAGATCGAGCAACGATCGCCGTGCAAACGATGGCATTGGAGATTGAACCCGTCAGCTATGACCAAGCTCTGAATTGTAAACCGCGTAAATTGCAAACGTGTCCGCAAGGCTGTAAATTCGTCGCATACAATCGCGTTGCGAAATACAAGACGCACAAATCATATCCTTCCGTTTACGGACTTCTCAGACTATGCCCACTTTGAAGGCGCCCCTGGCCCTGTCCGTCACCGGCTCATCTGCCCACCAGAGCGTTCGAACATTGCCCGTGAAGGGAGCCCGCTTCACACTAGATGGTCCTGCATGAAGGGCTGCAGGACGGCGCTGTCACAAACGACGCACTATCCCAACTCTACGCAGCGTCTGCTTGCACCGCAAGCTGGGCCAGCGACATAGCAAGGGTTGTCGTCGGACAGTGGAAGAAAGACCTCGCCCTCTTTCGCGACGTCGCGGCCTCTTCCGGCTGTCGGGGCGGGCACTTACCAAGGCCCAGGGAGATGGGCCACCAAACCCCTGTAATTCGGCGGTCGTGGGGCCCTTCGTAACACGGGCAGAATGCACCTTCGACGCCATGTTTTGTGGCTTTCCATCTGCCAGGCACACCTGTGACACCCCTTTTTGATACGACCGAACAAGCTGGATAGGACTGCTGCGGCTGCGCTGCTGCGGCGGCCTGAGGTTGCGGCTGGGGCCGCAGCGGCTGCGTTGCTGCAGGAGCGGCGTCTCCACAGCGCTGCTGCTGGTCCCGCATGCGGCCGCACCAATGACATGATGACTCACTGATCACTCGAGATCCGCCGGAATCCAGCTCGGGCGCGGCGAGCGCTCGCGCCGCGCAGAAGTCGAACTCGGCGAAGACTTTCGGGTGGCAACCTGTAAGTCAGAAACATATCCACAACGCTGTGCACTCTTCACATGCAAACGTGCTGCAACATACAATACACTCAGCTCACATCTTTCCGTTTACGGACTCCAAAATATGCCCACTTTGACGGCGCCCCAGGTCCTGTCCGCCTCCGGTTCATCTGCCCACAGGAGACAAGAGCGCGCGAGAAGTGCCAAGGATGGACACCCTCTTGACGCTAGACGATCCTGCCTTAAGGGATACAGGGCGGCGCTTTCACAACCGACGCTTTTTTGTTCTCCGACTGTGTGCCGCATCTGCTCTCGCCGCAAGCTGAGCCAGCGACGTAGCAGGGACAACCTTCGGACAAAGGAGCAAACAACTGTATCAGACACGGGACTGCGACGAAGCTAACTGACACGACGGCGGGCGACTGACGCGAGAACAGAAATCGGCACGAAGGAAAACAAATACACAGGTAAAAAATCCACGGATCGGCAAACATCGGCAGACCAGGACGGTCACTACGGCAAAAAACACAATAATCGTCGAGATGCAGATCGACGAGGGCAAGGCCACGATTCCCCCCGCGGTGATCGGAAAGAACAAGGCAAGCGCAAGAGCGAAAGTCGATGCGCGGAGTCTGGAAGCAAGCGGCATTATAATGCAGCGTCGAATGAAAATCGGACGTGGATCTGGAGACGGACGGGGGCCATCTGGAAAAAATGCCCATGCCGAGAAAGAACGATAACAAAAACCATACTTGTACTGGTAGAACATGAGTGCGGGTCCTGGAGACCACCGGCGCGACCCCGGCACGGCAAGGGTAACGACAGAAAACCACAAAATCCAAAACGTCAGCTCGGACGAGGAAAATGGCGACGTGCTGTGGGCAAGATCGACTCTGACGCATTTAACTTCAAACACAAGAACAGCAAAGGTAAACGCAAAGTACATGAGAAGAACGAAAGCCGTTTCCAGAACGACGGTCAGATGTAAGCGACTGCCCAGACTACTAGCGTGCGAGATGGAAACCCGGCAAGATTCTTACGACACCGCTACTGGGCACGCTCATACGTTGGATCGCACTGGAGAGTGTCTACGATGACGCGAAAAGATCACAGCAAGAGAGACGTAACAAATAATTGCAGGACCTTGTCCTCCAGCAGTACAACGGACGGAACCATACACGTCGACTACGACGGAACCGACAGCGGGCGAATCTGGCGCTAAAAAGGTCTCCAAGGCCCACCTGGACTACAGCGGGAACTCGACGCTACAAATCAATGTGTGTTTTTGTATCAACCACCAGTATGGACGCACCGCGGACCTGCTGAGCTTGCTGGAGAGGAGTCGATTCAGAATGCGCGCGATGTAACAGCTAATTTTACTGATATAATTGCTGCTACACCTCAGCGAACAACAACATTCTGTGGCTTCCTCGCAACGACAAGGGCATTAACGCAAAAAGTACCAGCCATCGCAGCAAGCCCGACGTTGGACAGGATATGTTTTCACTGGAAATAATTGGATCGATACCTGACGCTACCAACGGGTACGAACATGAAAACGTCGACGTACAAGGAATTCACATCGACATGGTTCAGGGCGACAACGGATGTTCGATGGCTGGGGG